TACTTTTACACTTTCATAGTGTTTTGACCAAAGTTTGGGGTTTAACTGTTTACCCATAGCTGCGTCCCTAACAGGTGATACCACTCCAGTCAGGGCGAACTTGGGAACACCAGCAATTAAGAGGTGTTGCCACGCTCCACAAAACCTTCTTATCAGAGGCCTTGCTGTCGGACGTAGTTTTTCGTCTTACAGGACGCAGCTGTAGATTATCGTCAGACCCAGGACGGCATAATCTTGAGATTAGGAATGAAAATGAGATTGAATGACTTGTCTGGAGAAAAATCAAAATGAAATAGGAAATTTTACAGTATTTACATTAGTCGGACTATTGTCCTCATCTTTGTCGCCATATTTGTCACAACGTTTCGGCCCTTGTACGCTCCGGCCTTCTTCAGGTGGTTGGAATTTCGAACTGAACCCTTTATTTCGATCACTGGGGTAGACTGTTCTAGTTCCACGTGCCATGTTTGATGGATGTCAGTTATCAGTTATCTCCTGCTAATTTTCCCTCTGAAAGTTCTCCACTGCCTTAACAAGGTATTGAACTCACACTCATTTGGGTCCTGTCACTGGATCTAACCAACGTCTTTATCTAGTGTGCCATGTGTCCTTGAGGACATATGGCTATGAACTTCTGAGTATTATAAACCTAACGTTTTCAGCATCATTTTTACCAGTGCTCATATTGCAAAATATTAGGTTTATAATAATGGAACTAGAACAGTCTACCCCAGTGATCGAAATAAAGGGTTCAGTTCGAAATTCCAACCACCTGAAGAAGGCCGGAGCGTAAAACGGCCGAAACGTTGTGACAAATATGGCGACAAAGATGAGGACAATAGTCCGACTAATGTAAATACTGTACATAATACATCATCTCAAAAATATAGACAGACTCTGAAGGAAATTTTACATTGGTGACAACTGGAAAGACCAACTTCCTGAAAGTATAATCATAAAATAAATATCCAAGAACTTTCACACATTATATATTGATGATTACAATAAATTTTGATTGATGGATTCGTACTTATAAACTGTTTACAGGTTATTTAAAACCAGAAAAAAATTTAGATTTAAATATTTTATAGATTCGTATCTATATTTATTTAGATAATAATGATTTAGTGATAAAATATTTACGAATTAACCCATAGCGGGGGGAATAGGTGATTTCATATCTTTCCCAAGTGTACTTGCGCATAAGTGTATATAATGAACACAAATGAAATTCGAATTTGGATATCCGATTAACAAATCCAAGTTCCAAGCTGATAGCAGATGGTATTACAAATCAGTCACCCATCTGGGTACTCACCAGATTTTATGTTGCTCATCTTCAGTGATGGCATGGGGTTGGGTGTTTCAACAAAAATCAGCCGTAACCTATGAGTGTAAAAAAAAAAGTTTGTGTCAAGTGAAAATGGCTTGATTTTCTTAAAAATAAAATTCAAAGATTATCGCTTGACCTGGAATTGAACACTGATTACGCGATCTAAAAGCTGACGCATGACACCCACGTACAGAAACGTAAGTGGAGGTTTTAGTTTTGAGTTTAAATCAGCCAAATATATGAACCTACGTGAAATCCTTTACGAGGACATTTCAGATAGATCATCAAGCATGTTTTGCAAACAAATTAACCAGAGAAGGTCTTAGAATATATATAGGCTGTTTTCTTAATTGAACACGGCACCTATGTTTAAACATGGCCGCACTACAGGCTGGCAGAAAAGTGGGATGGCGTCCAGCCCAAAATAAAATAAAATAGAATAAATAAAACAAGAAAAAGAAAAAATATATATATATATACTGGTCGATGTTAGCGCTAAGTAAATAAATAAAATCGGGAGGAAATGTCGGTGATCGACATAAATCAATACAGAAGGTGAGAATGCCGAAGTTAACGATCATTTTCTCATCAAACTATCGTAACGCTCAATATTTAGACTATATATACTCATACTATATTTTTTTTATTGTCTTACCGTTTCATTTTAAACTTCTCATTGGTTTTCTGTCTACATAAGATGACAATATAAAATCACAATGAGTTGGAATTATTTTGATAGAGTTCAGCCGGTAAACGTAGCAATAATAAAACATCTGAAAAATCATCCCAGAAAAAAAAAATTCGTCAAAGTGTCTTTTACGTTGGTCCTTACTCACCCTAACACATTAGCTAAATAGTAATAACTAATGAGAGAAAGTAAAAAAGGAAGTGTTTAATCAGATATATCAAAGCAGTAATATATATAGATACAACGTAAAAAAGGGAGTGTTTAATCACCTATATCAAAATAGTAATAAATATGAATACAAAGTAAAAAAAGTAAGTGTTTAATCAGATATATCTAAAAAGTAATAAATATGGATACAAAGTATAAAAAGAAATGTGTTATCACATATATCAAAACAGTAATATATATGGATACAAAGTAAAAAAGGAAGTGTTTAATCACATATATCAAAATCATTTTTTTTTACAAAAATGACCAGTGGAAAATATGAAGCCATTTGAAACCCGGATGGAAATCCAAAGGAATAATAATAATAATAATAATAATAATAATAATAATAATTGGTAGCCTTTCCAATACATTCGGTTCAGTAAATCCTGAATGCAGAGCAGTCGAAAATACAGACGTACCAAATTACTGAGTAATATACCAAGAAGATTCTCACGTTGTTCTTGTTGTCGTTGTTGAACTTTGAACTATCTCGAAGAATATCTCTGCCTCGCAAGACATATTAGGGATACCTGGTGTCACTGATAATGAGTAGCTGGCATCGATGATTGAAACAGTTTCTTTTGGAAGGAAAGTGTTTTATCTCTAATCTACATCTAACAGATGAGATATGGCAATCATTCCTTGCCGAAAAGTCTTCGAGTCGCAATAGATCATATATCTCAGATAGCAGAAGCAGCAGCAGCAGAAGCAACGAAAAGGAGAGCAACAATAACAACAACGACAGCTACAACATCAACAACAACAGCAACAACAACAGCAGCAACAACAACAACAGCAGCAACAACAACAACAGCAGCAACAACAATAATAGTAATAATAATAATCAAGTGACAAAAAAATTTCGAAAAACTATACCAATGCAAACAACTTGAGATGAAAATAGGAATAGTGTTGAGCTTAAAGACTAAAGAATCTCCTGTTGTGGTTGGAGCTTTGGGTCTGACAAGGAAAGGAACTCAAGAACAAAATCCTGGTGCATCATCTCTCCATGAAATTCAACAATATAGTACTAACAATCACAGCTGGTACCATGCGAAGAACGTTGATCATTTAAGTTATTTTCATATTAGATATCTTTATTTAATTAAGAGGAAACTTCCCAAAAACATAATATTTAATAATAATTTATTATAAAAATAAATGCAGTCCAAAGGGATTTTAAAAATAATAATAATAATAATAATAATAATAATAATAATAATAATAATAATAAATTGACGGGAGAATGCATAAAATCAAAATGGAGCTTATATATCCAGGGATGAGAAAATTTAAATGAAATCAGAATAAATCAAACATGTTCAAACGAACGAAGCTACATTCCCAGATATATGCTCAGTACATGGATATATTAATGAAATATAAGAATGGACGACAAAAACTATAAGATAGACCAAAACATTGGAGTAGAATTTGAAAAACATTAAAATAGATCTATATTTTCCACATTTTGTGGGAGAAAAACAACTGCGTTTTTTTAGAACAATCCATCAGATCATTCTAAGAAACAACGCTTGTGGGCCTAGCACATAAAAAAGCAACCCGCAGAAAAAAAAAAAAACAGTCATATTACTGATGCAAATTTGTTTATTATTTATGTTATTATTTTTAAAACAACTGTGGTCGATACAGAAGTAGAGCTTAAAATTATAATTATTTAAAAAAATAATATTATTCCATTAAGACACAGTATTTACTATGTTTCGAAACTGACCCAAATCATAAAATTTAATTTAAATGTTAAACGTAAAATTTGGAGCAGTTTCATTCTAAGCATCGCTTAAGAATGAAACTCTGCTCCAAATTTTAATTGTAATTTCTGTGTCGCGATGGAATCATATTTTTTTAAAAACATAATTATAATACATACATACACACATATATATAAATATATATATATATATATGTGTGTGTGTGTGTGTGTGTGTGTGTGTGTGTGTGTGTGTGTGTGTGCATGCATATGTGTGTGTATGGAGAGAGAAATAAGAAACGGGAGAGAATTGAGAGAGAGCAGATAGAGAAATAGGATGAGTCAACCATTTCTTCCCTTAATTGCGTATTGCATAAAACAAATAGGAAGGTATTATTACCATCATTATAGGTGAAATTTATTTCTGAATAAACAGTCCCTAATGCCGGCATTTGACACAAAAGGATTGTACAGTATCAATATTTTGAGTATTTGAAGTGAATTTCGATCATGAGACTCAGGTTTATTCACGTATGTATTGATGGATGCAACAGGTATCGACACACCATCATTGACGCTAATTCACAGGACTGATTGGATTATTCTATCAGTTTTTCTCTGGTATATACATACAAATATATAGTATAAAAATGTACATGCCCGCGTAAATACTTGCACGTACGTATGCATATTTATTCCAAAGGTGTTATAAACACAGTACTCAATGTTATGAAACAGAGCTGTAAGCATATATTAGCGAATCTAAATAAAATCCAACGTCGATAACCCGGAGTTTCATGCACTTCATGTAATCTTCAGGTGTCTATGAAAATCTGTGTTTCAGATTAAAGAATGCAGTTCATGCAAGAAATCAAGCAAATTATCTGGCTAATTTTAAATACAAATATTCACCCATAATAAAATCTGAAGTAATAAAACTTTGGATAAAAATAAATTCATTAATTCTTTATAAAAACACATACATAAATAGATAGCTAGATATATAGACACATAGCTAGCGAGATAAATATGTACAAAGTTTGAAATAGATAATGTACAAATGTTGAGAGAGAGAGAGAGAGATGTAAAAAGGTTGAGATAGATAGATATGTACAAAGGTTGAGATATATAGAATTCAAAGGTTGAAATAGATAGATAGATAGATAGATAGATAGATAGATAGATAGATAGATAGATATGTACAAAAGTTGAGTTAGATATGTACAAAGATTGAGCGAGATAGATATCTACAACATTTGAGCTAGATAGATATGTACAAAGGTTGAGATAGATAGATAGATAGATATTTACAAAGGTTGAGATATATAGAATTCAAATGTTGAAATAGATAGATAGATAGATAGATAGATAGATATGTACAAAAGTTGAGCTAGATATGTACAAAGGTTGAGCGAGATAGATATCTACAAAATTTGAGCTATATAGATAGATATGTACAAAGGTTGAGATAGATAGATAGATGGATAGAAAGAAAGAAAGAAAGAAAGAAAGAAAGAAAGAAAGAAAGAATGTAATTCTTATGGTCAGAGATCGAGATAATTTATACTTACTCAAACAGTGTTCAGTTAAATATGACGGAGAAATGTTCATTTATTGGAACAGAAATCAACATCATGGTGCTTACATCAGTTGAAACGACGACCCGGTGAATAAGCAAGTATTTTTTTTTTAATAGCATGAAACAGTTCTCTTTTGTTTGCTTTATTTTGTATGTCCTGGTGCATATGTGTATATAAACGCGCTTGTAAACTCACCTCTATGCATTGGTGATTAATCTAAACCCTGTATATTTATAATTCCCGGGTTCACTTCTCAGTAACTAAATCTTTCTGTCTCTCTCTTTTTATATACATACATACATGCATACATATATATATATATATATATATATATATATATATATATATATATATATATATATATATATATGTGTGTGTGTATCCTCGATGCGGTGATAGAAATTGCGTAAGCATACGGATGGGTAAATGAGAGGATGAAATGGAGTTGAAAAATGAAAGAATGCCTTACACCAGGCAGCAATGACCGTGCGCAGCAAGGCGTATGGACCCTTTTTCCATAAAGAAAGACAATCTAAACAAAAGCACAACTGAATGAATACTCACGCCGTGGCACGCTTGAATCATGAAGGAAGGGAGTGTGTTTTAAGGTCTTGATGATTGAGTCTTTGGATCAAGTGGTGCCGGGGTAGATAGAAATAAGGAAGTCACTTTAGGAGCGAGAAAGAGAGATAAAGAAAGAAAGAAAGAAAAAAACATAATAATGAAAGTTTGCGATATATGAAAATTGTCGTTTCACGAGAAATGTAAAAGGAGTGTAATAGGTTTTGAATAAACGGTAATGGGAACGTGTTCAGTAGAGGAGTAAGATAAAATAATGTCAAGGGTTTAAGTAGAGTCTGGAGACTTCAGGGTCCGTTTGCTTCGGTAGAAAAGAAAAGAATAAGTTAAATCTAAAGGGAAAACTGCAAGGAATATCACGTCAGTTGCATTGCTTTCTGGTTCGTCCGGCCGCGCTGAAGAGATGGATGACGTTGAACGGTCGAAGCATTGAAAGGCTTATAGTAATAAGAAACATTAAGAACGTCAATTTGGCTTCTAATAGAGAGAGAGAGAGAGAGAGAGAGAGAAAGCGAGAGAGAGAAATTTGAGGGATGACATATCGTCTCAAACCCGCATCTACTACTTCGACAAGGCTCGATCCAGGTCAGTAGACGTCTGTAAGTACGAGATCTTGGAGGAAGACGCATTTGCAACACATACTTCATGCTCGAGCAAACCCACTTGAGCAATGGCTAAAACCTTCTGCCCTCGTTAACACAACTTTCACCTCGGCCTACGTTTTTCTATATATTTTTATGCGTACGACAGTTACAGAAATTAAACGCACTTTATGTTTTTCTCATATTTTAAAGTGAGCTTACGCTTATCTTTCTTAGACAGGTGGAACTAGAAATACTTTTCGCCTCCCTCGTTTGATGCCACAAATCGAAAATATTGACCGGCAAAGACGAGTCATTTACATAAATACACACGTCAAATCAGACCCTTATGTGGATGGGCTTACGGTCATATCACATTGAAACGCCGGGGCTTGTACGATCACCGAAGTTAAACAACGTCAATCCTGGTTAGTAACAAAATGAGTAACCGCCTGGGAATACCAGGTGAGGTAAATATGCATATACGGAGTATGTAATGGATGATGGTTCGTACTTTGTAATCAGAGAGCCGAATTCCAATTCCAGTCGGGTACGTTATATTCACTTAAGCACAATGAAGGAATTTACCTCTTTTCACCCCATGTATGGGTTAATTATTGACTTGTATCAATAAATTTTAATTATCTCAAAATATTCTTTCAATCTAAAAAAATATTTTCTCTTTTTAAATATCCTGCAAAATGTTGATAATCCGTAAAAAATCAGTCAAGCAATCAATCTGATGTGGATGTCAGGCTTGATGTCAAACCCCTTCAGAAATGTCTAAACTAATCTGTTATGTATAAACATTTTCTGAGAACAACCTCGAAAATGATTTCAAATGAATATATTATTTAAATCTTAAAGAAAACGATCATTCATCGGACAGTATACAACGGCACTAGAAAATCATAAACGAAATGACTTATCAAATATCAATTGAAAATTGCCAAATGTAGCAAAACAAAAATGCCTAAGATAAAAAAATGATATAATCAGCACATTATCTTTCCACATTTCCAAAAAACAAATAGGAAATTACAATCACAAGGAGAAAAAGCGATAACAGTTATAAAGCTTGCGAAATTTAATTTGATTTTATTTAAAAAAAGAGATTGTATAAAATTTCTACAGATAGAAAACACGAACTGTTCAGTTAGTAAACACTGAAGGTTTCCTGAATGGAAACAGTAATTTTTTTTCCATTACCATTATATTTCTGTTATTTGATAAACACACATATCTGAAAATTACTTCGGTCTGACTTCCCATAGTTTGCGTCACCAAGTTCATATTTTGTTTATTTTTTTCTCTGATATTATAAGTTTTATTATTGTTTAAATTGCTATGTCATCATCAGGATTATAGTGAATTTTTAATCGTCTTATTAAATATTCATTAGAATCAATCCCTACCTCTTGTTTCTTCTTCTTCTTCTTCTTCTTCTTCTTCTTCTATAAGAAAAGGTTACCGCATCCATGGTCTTTAAGGAGATTGGATATTGTTTAAAAGGTAAGTTCTTATTCAGAAACAGCGAGAATTCTTCGTCCATCTAAATATATTGACGTTAAACAGACTTTTATTTTATTTTATTTTTTTCTAATTAAATTTTCGTAACTCTTCATAGATTTATTTAGTTTTTAAAGATCTATTTTGCCCTACGTTTGTTCCTTCATATTTCTGTGCCAGGTACTATTTGATATATATATTATTTTGCAACATATTTACGTAAGTTTGAACGCAGTGTTTTATATATCTAAAACTGTATAATTCCATTTCCATGTTATTTATGTATGTTTTTTATTAGACATCTCTTTTCCAGACATTAAAGATGGGAACAGAAGTTCTTTACATAAAAGCGTTTGAGAATACACAAGTAAAAAATCGTAGCAATTTTTTAAATAATTAAAAAGTATTTAATTTCCTTCATTCAATTCTTCTTCTTGCTGCTTTTGTTGTTGTCACTTATCTTTTTGCTTCTTGCCTTTATTAATATCTTTCATTTATCTAGTCACCATTTTTATAGTAACAGAATTTGATCTGGACATAATGATTCCAGAATCAAAAAGAGAGTAACTTCCTGATTTTACGTAAAATATTGGTAATAATTTTTTTAGAAATTAACACAGCATATTCTGATCATTACTCTGTTTAATTATGAAGTCTTACAGGAAGTTCTTCAATCTGATATGATGAAATGGTCACAATGCCTAATTAGGTGTAACAATACAGACAAAAAAAATTAATTATATGTATAAATATTAAATGTTTTAAGTGCAACTGTTGTATATGAAATGGACTCATCTGTTAAATAGAACATCAATTAAATCAAAATGTTCACATGAGAATATTATCGTTATTAAGATAATAAAAATATAATTTGAAAATAACTTTTCTGTTATGTGAATTTATCTTGTAGAATAACATCCAATCGGTTACATACCTTGATAATGTAGCACTTTAATTTCTTTTTCATAATTAAATTCCAAGCAGGAAAGTTAGTTTTACTTTTTTTCTCTTCGATATTCTAATTATTTCAGTGATAGTTAAGGGAATTGCTTCTCGACTAATGTTATACCTTTGTGCTTAACAACCTATGAAGATTTTTAACTCTCGAATAATATTCCAATATTTTCGATGATAATTTGGTATTTTTGTATGAAAATCTCAATTAACTAACTCCACTAATTCGCTATACTTAAGGTTTAAAATGAAATTTAAAATTTAAAAAGATTTCTTGAAGTTTCTTATTTAACTTTAATTGAAAGCTAAAAGATTCAATCTATTTCCAGGAAGTGAAATAATCAGTAGTGCATTTCAAACAGAAATTATATTTATTGAAGTCAATTCATTTTTTTTTTTGTTGGGGAGGAATAAAAATAACTTGTTAGCGCCCTTTTAGTCATTTGTCATCGCAATGTAATTTTCTTCATTAAAAAAATCTTCCAAAAATTACAATTTTTGGAAACTTTATTTAAAGAATATTAGCTGATTTAAGTATAATTGATCTGATTTGAAACAAATATTATCACTGTAAGTTAAAAATAAGAGAAAAATGTATTTTTAAAACAAATAGTAGTGGTGATTACGTAATTGTCATCGCTCGTCAATCACTTAACACGTGCTGTTAAAGGTGTTGGCAGGTTTATTGTTGTTCTATGTAGACTTTATCTGTTAAAACACAATTTAAGAAGATGACGGATGAACGCTTTTTTTAATATAATTATTCAGTAAACAGTAATATTAAACATGTTGAAAATATTCTCCGCAATCTAGGTATTATTAATTTTAGAAAATATAGTAAAATATCATGTTGATTGTAAATTTACTATAGTTATCAATCTTATATTCTGATGATGCTGTAATTGTCATCAATACTTTCACAATGGGTACGCTAATATAAAACATCTTAGTGCGTGTATATATTTGTATTAAGCATTTCTGTTTTTGATTAGTAAATATAGTCTTCTATTAATGACTTAATAACCTAACCTGATCAAATTTTGAAGAAACTTTAATAGATTGTTGAAACTTTTATATAATTATAATTAAAAAATGAAAACATTTTTTGTAAAAATTGATTATTCATTAATTTTATTCCCTAATACTATAATGTTCTTAATATGTATTATTTATAAAAACAATTAAAAGCTAATCTAATTAAATGATGTTATAGTTATATTGCATTTATATATTACTATTTGGGGCAGGTTTTCGGAAAAAGAGTAACTGTTTGAAAAACATGGATAGTTACACATTTGTGACGTCCCGCAGCCTTCGCTCGCTTCTCGCTGCTTCCTTTGGGTGTCGCCGCTCCAAACGTGACGTCCGCCTGTCTGCGTCAGTCGTGTTGTCCCGTCCTGTGACGACCAACTGGCTTGGTATTGGTCGCGGCACCCAAATGTGATGTTCTAACCCTTTGGTCATTCGGATGGGAATCGGGTTAGATTCGATATCAGCCTCGTCGTTCCCAACTCGCTTCCAACGTCTGGATACCGAAGTAACTGCGTTGATCTCCAGTCCAGCTACCCACGTTGTGAATTGATCTTAGGCAGACGAAATCAATCAGTCGTTGGGGCCGTAATGCAAGTTGAGTTCAAATAAGGGTGGTATCGCACAAATATGTGTAAAATAAAATGAAATAATAACTCAAAAGTTCAAGGTATCAAAAAAAGGATAACAATACTTTATATCTGGTTGTTGGATACATAGGACTGCGTCTATCTCCCGACCCGCTATATGGATTGTGACACGTTGTTTTTGTTAGGTGTTTTTTAACATCTTAAGTTGTCTGTTCTTTAAGAAACTGGTTCTTGGTGTGTCTTCAGGCGATAGTCGTAAAACATGTGTTGGTGGTATGAATCTAAGTCGCTCTTCAAAAATAAATTGTTCTTGGATTGAAGATGAGTTCGGAAGTTGCGCGAATCATACAAGTCAGCTCTGCGAGACCCACTTCAACTGCGCACTGGAGACTGTGGAAAACTGGAATTCCAACCAAACTCAACTGGGAAAAACTGATTTTCGCTTGCTGCGAATTTGCTTATATAGACGCTGACTAAAACCGGGGTGGGCTTTGTTGGGGTTTGAGGTTCCTTGATAATTCCAAATCCACAATCCCCTTCTTTTGTTTTCGGTCAGGAAAAATTTATTATTTCCATTTTTGGAAGTCTTCTCTTACCCCAACCTTCAGAGGGCGTCAACGATTTTCCTACTTCTTAGCAGTAACATCTCATACCTATCCTCTTTAAGGAGTGGTAGCAGGCCTCCCCCTGCATCACATGATCACCTCCGCCTGGCTCTCGTTAACATTCAACTAATGGATGATGAACAGTGTGGGCGTGACCTGACTAGCCATGTTTCTTAAAAAAATATCTTGCTCAAAGAAAAAAAAGAAGTATCTCCTCTTTTTTCTTTTTTTTCTATTTCCTATCTTTCTTATCTTTTATATTCTCTCTACTTCTCTGGCCGCCAACAGAACAATGCGACCCGTAGTGTGATAACCTCAATTCCTATCCCAAGGTCACTTTCATCTGGACTTCTTCAATCAT